GAGTTTAATACACATAGAGATTTTTTTTATGCAAAGAGCTCACGACGGTATTGTGTAACTTGGTAAGCAATGATACCACCACTGGTTCTTACCATTTTTCGGTTTCAGTATACAACCACGGCTTCTACTAGTTTATTTTTCAAAATTGTGGGTGGCTAATGAATTTAAACCTTTTTGAATCACGTAGTTGTACGGGATTTCCCATTCGGCACCTTCCTCCATTAGGCACAATTATTATTTATTATATTAAGGTATTAAATTAGATTCAAAAGGTGGTAAGGTGTATATATCTGGCTCTACCAGCATTCAGCGTTATGCAGGGTTCGCGACATGCACGCAGCTGGTATGAACCCAAAAAAGGCCCACATTATGAAAATTCAAAGTTGGTATATGAATATGAAAAATAAATACGAAAATAAAATAATAGGGGATTATACTATTTGTGGCCGCTGTTGTATACTGAAACCCATTTTTCAACTTGATTAATTAGGCATTGAAATATACTTTTCGAAGCCTTATTAACCAAACCCTGATGAATTGCTATTAGTAATCATGAAAAAAAAAGATTTTCTGTTTCAAATAGCATAGACAATGTGCTGTAACTCAACAACGAATTGTGCAACACCCATCATATTCTGACAGAAGCAAGTGGGTATTGTTATCAATTTTTTTAGCTATGATTAATTCCATTTTCATGACAAGGTTTGAGTGATCGTCGAAAAATTTATTTTTGTACAAATATCAATGTTTTCGAAATTGTATGAAATATTGAATTTCAATTGGTGTCAATGACATTCGATTAAACCCTTTTAAGAAATGAAAATGCGCTTTTAAGAAAATTTCGAAAAAAACGAAGAAAAAAGACTACATACATACAGACACCATCTAAAAATGAATTATTCTGACTTTTTAGAGCACATTTAGTTACACTAACAGGAAAAATTGAAAACTTAAATTTAAGCGATTACAAAGCTTTCATGCGGAAACAAAAATTTTCTAAAAAAATGGAATAACAAATAGTTCAATGGAAAAATTCCCTTTGAATCCCAAGTTAAAATAGGTAGGGCGACTAAAAATGCCCGTCAATGTTGAGTTGAGTTTTCAATAATTTTGAAATTCAAATAGATTTTCTGTATGATATTCATACTAGATTTGAAAATTCAAAGTTTCATTTAAATGGGTATGAGTATGTCCTTCAAATTTGAAACAGCGTCACCTCCTTCAATGCTTAGCAAAAATCACACGTTTCATGGATAATTTTATTTTGAAACCGATTTGATGCTCAGTGATAGTGCATTTATAATTTGTAATAAAATATATAATTACTTTAATTATGAATTGGCCTGATGATTCAGGTATTGAGGACTAAGCACGCAGCTTGCTCGCATATTATTTCGCAACAATTTTGGTAACAAAGATGTATTGGGACCGCTATTTACCGATGGTGGCGTGGTGATCGCCCTCATAACATGGACGACCGATGGTTTACTCGTTCAAACTTGTTCAAACCCTCACATTGTAGCTGACAGTAGTAGCTCCTCTCCGACTCATTCATGTCTGTATTGTTTTTAATTGTTGTACTCGAAGTTCCGATGGTGTCATATTTTAGAAAAACTTGAGGATTTGCAAAGTAATTGATTGAAGTACCAACGATAAACCATCGGACGGCCATTTTTTTTAGTGCAGGCCATACCCACCAGACATCGCAGCGATTTATAGCGTCCCCAATAAGGAAATGTTTCTAGGAACATTTTTTCATCGTAAATGTGGAGACCGATAAAAAAAATTTCTAGATAAATTCTCTAAATTCACTATGTACCAAATATTGGGAGAATAATCTGCATCTAAATTGTGATCTACAGACTATTTTTTAGAATTCCACCATAGACTTTTATTTCAATGCAGAATTCACATATTGTCTGGTCTGGTTGATCATAGAACAAAGAATATTTCTGTGAGTACATAGGATTATTCGTGAAATTGCTCTTGGCAAGGACAATAGGTATGCACAAGGCCATACGCTTGGCGAGAGTTACTTCGAATGTTTAATCTTGTGTCGTATGCGACATTATTCCTGATGCGTCATCAGATCATGGTTGCTCGACTTCAAAGGACTATAATTTTCTTTCTCCTCACATTCTTTTATTAATGATACGACAACGATTGCATTCTATTATTCATGGCTTATAATTTATCGAAATATTCCAAGACCCACGAGAAATGTGTCGAATTCTAATTTGCTATTGGTATTTCATTATTCCTCGCTTTTTCTAAAAAAATTGAGGATCAATATTTCAAAGATTTTTTATTCTGACAGGGAATGAATGGCATGAAAATTGTTATGAAGGGGCGGAAATTTTATTTGAAAAAAATGTGCTCTGGCATTTGTTCTTAAAATCACCTAATCACCAACATAATTCGTTGATTATTATTTTGCGCTTGTGATATATCGACTTATTTATCTATGAAATTTGGGATTTTGTGCGTATTAAATCCTAGAATGGAGCACTCCGAGGAAGGCTAAGTACGTCGAGAAAACGGTTTGGAGACTCGGTTTCATGTGGGACATAATACCGTTCTTGAGTATCCGTTATTATTTCTGCCGTTCCTCCAAGACATAGCTCTGTCTTCTGTTTGTTCTTACGTCGTCGACAAATATTTTTCCTTGTTATTAGACCATTGAAACAGTAATGGTTATTTTATAAATATTTCGCAAATTTTCATACGTAAACAAGTAATAGAAATACAGGGGCAAATCAGACATATTGTACATCCCGGAAATTTCAATTTTTCGTAATAGGAAACTTGCATGATTTTGTTTAATTTTTTAATCTCAAGTTTAGGGAGTAAATAAATAATTGTTCAATGATGAATGTTCGAAATATTGCTCATCAATTAATAATTGATAATGACAAGTTGAAGATTTCAAATACCCGGGGATCGCTCATAACGTTACGTAGACGGTCGAGCGCAGGGGCTTATTCGGTTGGAGGGTGAAGGTGTCGCCTGGTCAACGGATCTCTCTTTTTTAGAGAGAGAGAGGGTCAACGTCTCTCTCTCTCCCCCCCTCTCTCTCTCGCTCTCTCTCTCTCTCTCTCTCTCTCTCTCTCTCTCTCTCTCTTTCTTCACGTCTCAACACCTTCACCCTCTAACCGAACAACCCCCTGGACTAATCACAAGGTGACTCGAGCCAATCTAATATAATCCATCATAACCTAATATAATCCCCGGCCAATGGAGTACAGCGCCTTACGCATCCCACACTCGACCAATGAAATATTACCTAGCCAGCTTTGTGACGCCATGACCGAAAAACTGATTTCGAAAACGGCCAATGTTCAATTAATTACCACAAAATATCTAGACAATATTATTTCATAATTTTTGTTGTTTAGCGATTCATGGGTTATAAAGAATGTATAACCCAATCCTCATGCCTTTTACTGCGAAAACAACTCTTAAAAATTAAACATTGTTTTTCAGTAAAAAAAAAGTCATTCAATCACGGTAGTTACCTCCTTTTTCCAAGATCGACCACGATGATGATTTTCAATTGACTTAAATAATTTTCTCTTGAATACTTCATTGAAAAATTGCAATCAAATGATATTGATCGAGTAATATTGGAAAAATAAGAATGACTTTGGGATGCCATTGAAAATTTGGGAATGAACTTTTGCAAAATATGAAATGATTTATGATTGATATTAAAAACTTCATGAGCGTGAAAACATTTTGCGTTCCGAATAAACTCGTTACAACAATATTCTTTCCTCAAAATTACAAACATTAATTCGTCGTCTCTCTGAAACGAAAGACAAAAAAAGAAAGTAAAAATTCCATACTTTTTCAACAAAAAGGAAAAGTTTGATTCTCTCTACAAGGAATTCTATTCTCGTCTTAATGTAGTAGACACATGCGCGGGACATAGTACTACACTATAGTGACACGTGGCAAGGATGTGTTCTGTGGAGTAGTTAAATAGGCCGCGACAATCCAGCGCGACTTTCTCCCAAAGAATTGCAATCACTCGAGATTTTGAAGTGGAGTGATCCAAGGAAATGACTATAAAGCCAAAGTGTATAGAAAGATAAGAGAAACCACGGGATTTCGAGGGGGTGTTTGAGTTTTTATGTGGAGTACATGCAGTTTATACATTGGAAAAAAATCACTGGTAAATATAAACAATACGTGCCTAGAATTCAAAGATAAACGTTGAACTCATTTCAAGAACGCAAAAACCATGAATTCGAGCTTTTGGGCTTGATTATCAGACGCTTATCACTTAGCGAGCATTAAATTATTATGTGATAAGATAAAGCTAGTGATAAACTGGAAGAAAATAAGTTGAATCATCTGTTTAGAAGGAGAAATAGTTGATATAAATATTATTAGTTTTGAATTATCTTAGGATTCTTTCGTCTATTTCAATATTCATCACTAGTAGTCTGTCGTTTAGGACACGAGGTGTGGGTTACAGAATTTGTTCCACTCATTAGTTTTCGGCCTATTAGAGAAACTACCCGATGATTTTTGTTCTTTAGTCATTCAAATACATGATCACAATTTTCATCAAGGACGACTTTTTTGGGTGAGCCCTAATTTTTTTGGGCATGTAATCGATGTTTGGTAAGATTCTGAATATGAACAAATTTGTCATGATTCCGAATAAATGATTTTTATGGTGGAAAATTGATTGTTTATAAATTTTTTTATGTACAATGCTCGTAATTTTCAAAAATTGCAATTTTTTAATTATTTCATCAATCTTTCTCACAAAGTAAACTTCCTAATTTTTTTCTGAGATTTTTAAACTGTTTTCCAACGGTTAACTGTCGAAAGTCAAATTCAGACCTGCAAAGTTCAAATAATAAAGTCATTGTAAAATGTCCGCAACTTAGGGTCAAATGGGGCTTAAGTGAAAGCTCTGATGTTCGACTACAAAAGTAGAAAAGCATTTCACTGAAAAAAAAATAGCCATAGTACTTGGATATCCTTACGGTCATGCTCTTGCAGCTAGGCCAAAAAACTTTTCTGGTAACGCGGAAAATTCTCCAAAACAATCTCTTGACAAGACGTCATGCGAAGGGTAGGTATCCAAATCTACGGGAAAAATTTGTTGAGGTAAAAATTTAATTTTCATGAGATAATGTAAATATCAGGAATGAATCATGTTGGAAGGAAATATCAACAACATTCATTGCAACAGGGAAATTTTCCAGTAGTAGTAGTACTAGTGCTCCAAATTTCGCACATTTTGTCCATAGATGATATTTTAAAGAAAATAACTGATTAATTTTGGAGCACGAGCAGTATTTGTCCGCTTATTTTGCTCATTCGGATTCTAGCCAATTGAACGGCAGTATTTGTCTCTGACAGAGATTCGAGTGTAGTTATGACATCCAGTGACAAGTCAAAATTGAAAAAAAAAATGGTTCAATCATTTGTTTTTTGTGCTTATAATTCGTCATTTTCCACCACGGCCGGCGTAATCGGCAGTAGGCAGCTAGCGTATTGTTTTTTTTCGAAATACTGCATTCGAATCAACCTCAAAATTTCCTACGTAAAAAAAATGTGTCGCAGATAAAAAATTTTTTTAACCTGTGAAATTCGACACATTTTTCGTATGCAACGAATTTATCGGAGAATAACCGACAATTTTGGATTAGTGGTATTACTACTGGCTATCTTTCACTCGGATTTCGGCCGATCAGAATAAAGTATTTTGAAAAAAAAATGCAAAACTAGGAGGAAATATCGGAACTAAAACTGTTGGGTAGCCTCGAATACGGCGCTCTAATTAGCTGACGCGCGAGTGAGAAAAATAACCGATGGAATAACTTTTTCTGTCCATTTCGATATATCACCCTGATAGAGTTCAAGAGAAGTCAATCAGAAGTAGATAATTTTGAATTTGACGCTCGGTTTTGCAAATATTCTTGCGTCAGCCAATTCTCATTACCTCAGTTCTAAGCACGGGTGGGTAAAAATGCCGTCTATACCAACAGCAAAAGACGACGCTCTGTTGACGTAGGGTGTTTCGCGGAAAAACCAGAAGTGCAGACTTCCCAGTTTTTGAGATATCACAGATTCCTAGGATAAAAAATATCAACTCCTTGAACGACTAATTTTTCTGAGTAATTTCAATTTCCTCAAAGCTTCCATGAACAAGGCAATGATTATTATAAATAACCTTGAAAGTGCAACGTTAAGGACGAAATGATAAAATTAAGATTAAAATCAAATCAATATAAGAATAAAACAGTAATTAACAACCATGAAAAACAAAATAATTGAATTGAAAAAAAATTTTTGACCGTCGTAGGAGGGAAAAAAAACATTAAATCTCTAAAAGTTAAAATTTCTCAACCTTAAGCGAATTGAATACGCAATACTCCCGCAGATGAGGGGTTTAGAAGAGGGCGAATAAGATAATCCACTACGCAACATTATGCAAAGGGCCTTAAACTCCCCCGATTTCTCCATACCATAATCACAATCTAAGACAGAGTTGCTCCCCACAATCTCTCCCCTCCCCCCCTCCATTTATAGTATTACATTCTCCGTACATTTTTTTCATTCCCCTGTTCTTCCTCACCGCGGTACATTCACCCGAATAACCCGAATATTTCAACTTCTCACGGTCCGTTAATTCCTGCGCACGCGTCACATGTAGCATTGCCTGAAATAATACTTCCCTCCCCATACCTCTTGGAGATATTCATTATATCCATTAATTCATTAGTGACTGTAAGATTTTTCGGTAAACAGGAATTGACATGCCTTCTTGTCACTTATATCGTTTTTCTGGAAAATATAAATGCGCAGCGATTTTAACGAGGTCATGGGAATATCGGAGAAAGAAAACCACCGGAGTTGGTACGGTCGATTCTGATTCGCTCTCTGGTGTTGTGCCCCTCTTCTCTCCCCGTTAAGCTGGCCGTGGTATGGTTGGAGGAGTGTGTGTGAGTGTTGAATATGCCTTTGTCTGCCGCCACCTGTCCGCGCCATGCTGCTTCTTTGCACACCATCGAATGCATTAATTTTGTAATACTATCTTCAGGTCTGTGTACATGTCTACACATCTGTGGATTATATTATCAGCATTCATCACTAGTGATATTGATTGGAATTGAATGTTTCGATTAACACTGCTTTCTAAGAACACGGCGTAGTTTCATTTTTGGGAGTAGATTGATACAATTGAGCGGAAGAGACAATGAAATAAACGTAGTTAGAAATGTTGGTTGGTCAATTATTTAAAGAAACAAGAAACGAGATAATTTCCTAGTTGCTACCAAGTTTGTGTATCTTCGAACGCGTCATTCTGTTTTCCAAGCATATCCAAACCACTAATAAGACAAGAGCTAAAGAACCGAGTGGAATAGTGTAGAGACCCCTCGGTATGTTAGTGTTGATTTTCTATCTGTAGCTATGGGTCTGCGTCACGCGTGCACGTATGACGTGACTCGTCAAGTTGTACTCCTAAATAATATAAAAATATAGTCAAGGGCACGAGGTGATTCTTACTCCGTTTTTTTATTGCTTACGTTTTGAGTATTTGAAATCTTCAACGTTTTGAAAGAAAAACAAATTTTTGCAATTCATTTTTTATTATCGTCATTGATGATCATATTGCTAATGACGTACGCAAAGACATTAGAGATGACTAATGGTGCTGTTCATGTTAAAACTATTTCGAAAAAGTGTCATGTTTGAAGAAAACATCACCTGATCTTTTTTCTCCCAATAAAACAGGTATTGTGTTACTAATTTACAAAATAATCACGTATAAGCCGAAATTTGGAACTTTATTCAATGTACGACTACTACTCGATAGATATAAACACATCTGGAATAATTCCATCATTTGTCAGAAGAAATCTAGCGCCACTGGTATATATTATATGTCCCACTTTCTTTACTTTCACACTATAGCAATGTCGCAGTTAAGTTTCTCGTTTAAGGTTTACTGCACTATTCATTCATACATTGTAAATTTTTTCCGCACCCGTTGGCAAATTCCGTTCGAAACAGAACAAATTGATGAGTTTGAATGAATGTAAATATTGTAATTGTTCTGAACTATTTCAGTAAATATATGAATGTTATGTAATAAAATAATAAGATAAAAGCAGAGTTTCATCATAGGTGCGATGATGTTCCGAAAAGTCCGCAAGATCGTTTTCCTTATAAATCTAACTCCTATCACGTCACTATGACGACCCGATCTCCCTCCTTAATCCCCGCTATCAATGTACGCAATAAAATATCTATTCTAGATTCATGAAAATTAATCCATCTACATAATTATCCACGTACGTAACACATTACGTTCGTAATTCATCAATTGAGATTCGTTGTATCCAAGGGGAGCGCCTGAAAATGACTTCAAACGATGCAATGAGAGAGTAAAAAAGTGGAGGGGAGAAGGAATATTATGTTGACTCAACTGTAGTTGCTCAACTTGCCCGTCAAGACACGAGTTATGTGACGCGGCTCGACGCCATGAAAACAAAATTTCTTTTGTCTCCTTTTTCCTAGTTCGGAATTGACTTTCACTCAACATCAAACGACTTCTTCTTCTTCTTCAATAATCATCGATTCAATTCATGATTTTTTTATCAATTGAAGGAGGGAAAAGAAAGAAGTAAACATAGATTATGAGAACAATCCGAGTGATCTTCAGCAAGGTTTGTTCATGCTTCACAGGAATTCCCCGAGTTATGAGGTAGATTCAATCCCAGTAGATTAACGCTTGTTTTGATTGGTCTATTACTTTTCCAAGAAGTGAATATTCTGTTTCATTAGTCATAAAGCTTCATGACATTTTCTTCAGAATTTCTTTGGATAATTGATTTCTATGCGATTATCAATATTCGAAGGTGATAATTATCCTTGATATTTAACAAATCATTTATATTTTTCAATAGCCAAGATAGTGATACTTGCTTTTTTCTCGTCTCAGAGAAACCCTTTTGATTTTAACTCAATGAATCATTAAAACCTACTATTAATCCTTGAAAATACTCTCAATATTCACCTCCCTCCCTCATCTAGCGTTTTTTCCCTTCTCATCATCATATTCAGTTCGACCTATAGATATTTGTCCCCTGCTGAGTATCGGCTGAAGCGCGCTACCTCTTCTTTGTTCTTCTTTAACCCCGAACGACAGCCGCTCCACCCCGCCCCTCCGCAGCTGACGCATCTCGTGTCCGCGCGAGTTATCGCGAAGGAGAAACGGTGAGGGGGTCGGGATAACGGAACGTCTGTATATAACAACAGTAGGTAATCGCCAGAAGAGTGTAGTGCAACAACGTCAATGGCGTCGAATTTTCCCAGTCCACAAATCCCCATATATCCCTCCTCCTCCACCCCCCCCCCGCACCGCGCTTTCACGATGCTCTTTAAATTATGAAAATTCTCCAAGCAGGAAAACAAAGCGAATAGCCACATTTAAGGCTGTCCATTCGTTTTTCACTTTCCAAACCATTCTGTGTATTTAAGATTGTTTATTCTTATCAAAAATTCAATTAAATGCAAACCTTTTGTTGTGCAATCAAGGATATCGATTGTCGTTACTGGATCTTTGTTGTCTATCGCAAATGAAAAATGCAATATTTTCAACCCAAAAAGTAGGCAATTTCTGTTTTCTTCTTTTATAAATCGAAAAATTGTCTAGCCTGGCACCTCTATCACCAAATAATCACCACTAAGTCACACCTACTTTGCACACTACCGCATGAAGCAGTTCCCTCTCTCTCACTCTTGCCTCCTTTAGCCACCAACAAGCTTCTTCCAATACTAATGTATTTTGATTCTGTGTACGTATGTGCAATAGCGCGAGGAATCGAAACGGCGGACGTACGTAAACTACGACAAAAATTTCCGTCTGTACGCCGCCGAAGACCGTGAACGACTGAGTGGTTGATGGTTGGCCTGGCGCTGGCGGTACTACTACAACCGCGCACGTAGCGGCTGGCTACAACAACGTATAACCAGGGAAAGACTGGCGGTGGCGACTGCGTTGACTGCCGAATGGCTGATGGCAAGGGCAAAAGGGGGTGCAGGGCAGATGCGGGTTTTCTGAGAGGCTACAGTGCCTAGTGCAAGGAGGTATGTGTACTTAAACCACGGCACAGGCGAATCCAATTCTCTCTCCTTCTCGCTTTATCTTTGGAGGCTTGTGGAAAGGTTGAAAAGAGTCGAGACGAGGAGTGATTATCATCGTGTTTCTATTGTTTTATACTTTGTTTTTTGGACGAACATGTCTTTAATATTCAGATTTATCGCATTGTTATTTGTTAGACTGATTCGGCTCGAGAACAATGCGAAAGATGAAATTTATCGCAAATCATCGCCAACCGTCAATTTATTTCGAGAGGCAAAATTCCACTGTATATTAAAGAGCTCAAGCAACAACGTAGGCGGAACAAACCCGCAGGGGTGGCGGGAATTGTCACCAATGGTTAATTTGGAAGTCAGGAGAGGGAAATTAAAAAATCGGCAAGTTGATTTTGGTTCGACTATTTGACGATTTTACAATGAAGAAGAAACACCTGACTTGGGTTTTTTTATTCTTTCGAGAAACAAGTACGAACAGCAGTTATGTGCACGCACACGCGTCTTTGTCGTGGCTCGTGCCTTTCTTTTCCATCCCGCCTTCATACAGCTCTTCTGTCGGAGGCCGTTTTCCGTCCGCCTTTATCCTCGTGCTGCCTCCGAGGAGGCAACGGGTAATAGTTGCAGACCCATCACTAGCGCCACTTAAACCAATACTAATAATGAAAGATTGTTGGTGTGCGGTAGGCCTTAAATATGCTCAAAACTTTTAAGTAAATAGATTTTTTGTTTTCAAAGTTTGAAACATTTATACTCAGCAAGCATTATTGTATACATTCAGGGAGTTGACAGCTATAACACTGGAGTGGATTTATTATCACAAAAGTAGAGATTTTTTTCGAGAACAATTTCTGATGAGAAGTATAAAAATGGTACTCAGTAAAATTTGTACATTCCTTTTGGATTCTTTCATATGATGCGAAGACATCAAGACTCATTGAAATGAGTTGACTACTCTTCAACTTTTTGTGAAAAGAAAATTCCAATATTCTCTAAAACATAATTACGGGAGACTGGGGCAAAATGAAATCCCGCTTTTTTTATTTTTCAATGACAAGACAAATAAGTCCAGTGTTTTTTTCGATGTAACATCGTTTGATAGATCACACAAGCAGGAAAATAAGTTTTCGAATTAAAAAAAAGAACTTCTATACAAGACAATCTGTAATCGTCGTTATGAGCAATATTCTAGTTTTTACGGGAATGAGAAAATTTCTTGTCCCATGCAGATATTTCATCTTACAGTTATGAATTTTAATAAGTTCATCATAACTCGATTTTTTTAATACACTTGAACATTTTTTGGCTGTAATTTTCAGATACACTTTCAGGGAATTTTCATGACATGTTAGTTCCATTAAAATTTCAAGGAATTTCGTCGTTGAAAATTCAGAAAAACTCAGTGGAAAATCAATGACAATTGCAAATGTAAGTTTAATTATTCCCTGAAACTTAATAGAAATCAGGAAATTTTCAGTAAATATAATTTGAATTTCCAATTAATTGGAAAATGTTTATTATATTGCTCCATTTTATATTTCAATCAACAGAAGTAAAAAAAAACATCCACAAGTTTTATTACGATTTCTGGTGTCAGATCTTTAATATTTCGAAGACGTGAAAGTTTTATACGCAACTCCGAGGCGGTCTGGGGAGGCAAGAGGATGTGGAGAAGGGATAAGGAGTTTGATGATGACTGTTTGGAGAAAAATGTTGAGAACTTGTTGAGTTTTAGTTATGTGTTGGCGAGTGTCTCTCGGTTCGACGCATTTGTGCCGCTCTTGGTTTCACCTCCGCCACCTGTATGACGTCAGTGAAGGAAACAGCTGGTGCGGTATACCTGTAGTTTTTGGAGAGGTAGGGGACTGCTCAGTGTACGTACACGTTGGGTTTAATAGTGCCACGCGTTGTCGCCTACGATGCGCAATCTTTGTCGAATGGAAATTACGTTTTCAAAATAAGAAGAAATATTTTTTAAATTGAATGATTTTCAGAAAATATACATCTACTTCCGTACAACAAAACATAATCGAAGAATAATTATTGACTCAATGGCTATTTTCACTTTTAAATTTCATGTATATTAAGATTGATAATCAAAGAATAAAATGGGTTTAATTCATTAGGAGCCAAATCTTTTTTTTATTCTTCAAAAAAAGAATGTATGATCCTAAAGAATTTTTTGGTCATAGCTACTCTAAGCATTGGAGAGCGAAACATCTTTTACATCAAGGAGTGAAGAAAAAAGTGGAGGATAAAAATAATGGCGACCGGTGGGACAAAAGCGGGGACGACGGAAAGGTAGAATTTGGCTGGGCTGAAGCAGCTGTTGGTTTGATGCCTTCGTGAACGGCCGAATTAAAATCTAGTAACATCCATATCTAATTCATGATCAGATTGAATACACCAATATTCTACACATTCGCTCCTCCGTTTCAGTGGAAAAAAGAGAGACCTTTTTTTATTATATTTTGCTACTAAGTTATTAAGTGAAAAATTATGGCATGTATTCTCTATTTCTTCCATTTCTGTTTTCTGAAGAGAAAGAAAGGTCGATGATACCAGCCTGTACAACTTGCCCCTCGATCCCTCTATTGTCTCCTCTGTCTCCTGTCCTTCCCACAGATCCTGTTTTTCAAGAGATCCGCATCCTTGTTAGTGCGTGGCATGCGTCGAGTCTCACTCGGTGCAAATACCACCGCATCAGGGCTTTTGCTTCAAAGACGGAAAAGTAAAAATCGAAAGAAAACAATAATTCGATAATTATTTACTTTTTTGGAGAAATAATTGAAAATTGGTAAAACCGTTCGTCTTCATAACTCATGCTCACAACTATGGAATTATCTGAGTCCTATCTAGTGAGACAAGGAAAAAATATGAAGAGCTCTTTGTTGAAATTTTTTATGGATATTCCTCATTTCCAACAAGCAGTTTTATCTGCTCTACTCATTCAACGGCTATCAGATATTTCTCTGCTTTGAATAGCTCTTCAATGATCAATACCAAATGAAAAACATCAATCGATTCCCCTGACTCTTCACTCCCTCATTCCAGCCATACATTGTACACGGGAATAGACTTAAAACTCTCGATTCTTTTGTTTCTACGCATGTTCTTTTCTAGCAAGAGGATACCTCGAGTGCGCCGTCGCCTTTCTATTAAATCTCCCCTCCCTTTATATTGTACGAGGCAACGGCGAATGACACCCAAACGACCCTACTTTCCGCTAAATGACCTAGAAACCTACTTTTGTCGGTATTAAAAGCGAAATCAACGGGTTACTTCACCTCACGCTCCCAATTTCCAGAAGAACTGTATCATCTACATATGTTAATGATTCATCATGAAATGTCGTTCAGTTAAATGAATTGATCAATTTGTCTTCAATTCCTCGATTATTCTCCTTCCTATTGCAATGTTGAGAATTGAACACTTTTATAATGTTAGTCGTGATGTTAGTAGTAGTCCGTATATATTCTGTCACAACAGATAAAAAGAGATAAGACGTTGATATCGGTGTTTAGTGCTTCAACATCGCGAAATACGCTCGATAAAGTATTCCGCTGAATTAAACATTATTTATGGTTAATTGAAAAAAAATCGAAATTGAATGAATTGATGAACAAAATTTCCAATGAAAAATAAAAGCGGAAAAAGTGAAAAGCGATTATGCCAGATGTGTTTTAGAAAGTGCGGAGGGGGNGGGGGGGGGGGGGGGGGGGGGGGGGGCAGCGGAGAGAGAATTGGCGATAGCGCACCGAGGTCGGAATCGATGTTGAGAGGCCGGGAGAATGGCTCGTGCTATGCTCGGGTTGGGGTAAACTCTGACGCTAGGCGGCCCCACCAACTTGATCATAAAATATGTATATCATTTTTTTAGCCTAAAATACAAATACAATGTCCAAATGAAAAGGAAGAGAATAGAAAAAGCAAACTCTGTTGCCAATTTTTTTTTTTTTAATTTTATTATTGGTGTGCCGTTTCATTGATGCTAACAATATGGCTGATCCAATAGAACTTTTGAAATCGGCTTTTATTAAAAAATTTAAAAAATGGCAATAAAAACACAAGCTGTTATAAGTTTTTCACATTTGGACTCTTTGAATGTAGTGGAATACTTTGAAACCGTTCTAAAGAGCACGTGCACAGCGTAATATAAGTGACCTTGAGTGCAGTCCTTTCCATACAGTTCCGGTTTACGATTATTAATTAAAATATATGAGAAAATTGAGTCTGAGAAATTTACCGTTCTCAAACATTTACTCTCACTGGGAAGATGAAAAGGTTTGAAAATGGATTGGAGTTTCTCTTAAATGTACCGCTAACATTATCTTATTGACATAATAATAACGAGGCAAGCGTCGTAACCTCTATTACGTCAGGGACTGACTACTGAGGATGAGGCCTTCAAAGCAACGATGGACTGCAGGAGGCCCAATCGTCATACTAAACATTGTACTGTGCCAATATTCAGTTACGAAAACGACAGTTCTATTCCCTTCATGCCACCTTCAAGTTCCTTTCAAAAGTTCAGTTTTCTATAGTAGATTTTTGTCGTTGGCGGCTTTCATGATGACTTTTTTTTGGTAGAGTAATTAGCGGTTTAGGGCGGTTGAGGAGAGCCGAATAATGGTATTCGTGTTTTTTTATCCCAGAGCGAAGGAGTAAAACATGGTGTTCATTTAATTGTATATTTGGTGATCTCCATTTCAAGGACAAGTATTGAGGACCTATTCCTTTGAAATCACCGGTCGTATTGATAAAAACGAATCATTTAATTCTTACTCAGCATTGATAATGAATATTGGATAATTTACGGTGAAAATTATTTGGTGAATTTCAACAATTTGTTGGTGAACTTCAATAGCTAGTTGGTGAAATTTAGCAACTATTTAATTAAAATTCCGAAAAAGATTTTTCACTTTCATTCGACAACCATTTGTTGAATTTTCAACAAACGTTCGTCGATTTATTCGATGGATTAAATTTAACAAGGATTGTAGTGTACAAGGAATTATAGATCATTGCGAATAGTCTATTCACTACCTAGGGAGAGAAAATAAAGAAGTCGTGCCCACGTGCAGAAACACCATCCGAGCCGAAGGCGTGGATGGTAAGCACGTTGATAACGGTTTTTTATTTAACCTCCCTTGGTCAGGACGTTATTTTCCGCCATGGCGCAGGCGCAAAGTCAGATTTCCCTCTCGCGAAGCGGAAGCAGGGAAATATGCACTTTGCGTCCGCCGTGACGGAATAGTACATTACGTGTCGAGCAACGAAAAGGCATCTTTTCCCGTAAATCCCGAATTTCCCATGCCGATGGAACAAAAAATAACTTCTAGGGGAGACATTGATCGATTGTCAAGATATAAATGATTGCGAGATTTTTTTCAAATGTATATATGCTCTCAGAAATTGACAAATTTTTTCTGAATTTTAATTAATTAGTTGTTAAATTTCACCAACTAGTTGTTGAAATTCACCAAATATTTTTCTCCGTGTTGTTTTCCATTACCTTTTTTTCGACAACACGGTTCTTTTTTTATTCCTATACATTACTTTACTCCTCGTGTGGTAATAGCTAGATTCAATCTGCTGTAAAAACCTACTTTTCTCTAATTCATAGACAAATTTCCGTCGTTGGAGACAGCGACGCCAGTTCAACTTGTAGTTGACTCTAGAGGGAGATAAAAAAGCCCCATCCCTGGTAATATTGCAGCCGTTTGAATATGATAAAACCAGGCATAGTTCTGGGCAAAGAATTGAATCATATGATGTGATAGGAGGAGAAAATTCAATAATTGATACTAAACAAGCTCTTCTCATATTTTGTTATCAGTACAGTGGCGGCAGGAATATGTTAGGAGGCGCAAAAATTGGTATTGCAAAATCATATTCTATCGGCGTTAACTAGTGATAAGTGACTAAGTAAATATCCATTATATTTAACAATTTTCCATATCAATAAATAAATGGGGAGGGGGGCAAATCATGCGAATATATTTCTTTTTTTATGAATAACAGAAATAAAACTTAGATTCATCATTAAAAATTTTTTTTAGCTAACAAAAATAAAATAAACTGGATAAAAATTCCTTCCCGCCCTGAACTTTCGTACAAAAATACTAAACATATTTGCATTCAGTTAGCTCGTTTCTGTTTATATTATCTTCTTTGTCTACCCAGTGTCTTGATTTCACCAGTTTTCACTTTCTTCTTCGCATCGACATTGAGAGTCAGCAACAGTGACAATTGTAGTGAAGGTCAGTTCGCGTCATATCCATGAAAAACTGAATACTTTGAACTACCACCCAGTCTGTAAATTTATCTCTTTTTCCGTTTCTCATAGGAATTTTTAAAGGGTCCTTCCTTTTGAAAAGGGCGAATCGAGATTTTGTCATTAGAGGTAAAGGACAATTAAATGTAGAGTCAAGGGATATCTGAATTGGGGGAGAAATGGAAATTGAGAATGAGGCGAACGTATAAGATTGCGAAGGTCATGCGCTCACCCTCAAGCAGGTGCCAGTTCTCGTCAAGCGAGGCCAGTGCCTGCGCCTGATTGGCCTGTTCTTCAAAGTCGAGCATCCCAGAAGTTCAAATTTTTTTCTATCACTTAAATCCTATTTATCCACTCCACACTCAATCATTAAATGACACACAATAAAATATCCAAAAAATGAATGAATGCTTTCACAGATGAGGATTCACTTAGTTCACTAAACCAAGTTTAAGATTCATGAAATTGTTATATTTCCACAAAATAAAGAAAAACATGATTTATTTATGGAAGTTGATAATGATAGGATTGTTAATATTCATATTTTTCCGATATTAATATGCAATAATGAGATGAGATTACAGTCAATACAATCCGTTGCGGCGGCAGTCCGGACAATACCGTTACAGCTAACGAGTCTGAAATCCCTTTCCCCCTTCGTCCCTCCTCTTTCCTCCACAGGTTTTACCCACACTTTAGACCAGCTGATGGGCGCACCTGTATACATTCAAACGTGACGCGAGAAGCAAAAATGAATGTATGTTTCTGTAGCGAATAGAAGTGGTAAGGAACTGAACAGAGTACAAGTCAGAAAATTTTTGTCAAGATTACTAAGCAAATATGTTGGAAACCATTAGTGAGTTTAGAATAGTGATGCCGCGAGACGCGAGAGAAACGAGACAAGACGAGAGACATGACCAGACGAGACGAGGAAGGCCGATCGTGAACGAGAGAAACGAGAGGCGAGACGAGTGTCGAAAGAGCCTCTCCCTCTCTGCCCCTCGCCCAGGTAAGAATTACATAGGCTGACGATGAGAACAAGCCTGTATGAGCCCAGGGTTGGCGAGGCTCAGTTATTCAGGCCTGGGATAGGCTTGGTTTCATCGTTCACTTGAGCTTCAAATGAGGATGATTAAAGGGGCCATTGGCGAGGCTCAATTCAGGCCTAGTCCAGGCTTTCAGTATTCAGACTCAGTACGTCAAGGCTTATTCAGGGCTCAGCAAGGCCTCGAAAATTAAAGTTACTTTCGATAAAACTCCAGACTGAAAGAAATCGTGGACAATAAAGTCAACGACTTCAGAACTGAGTTAGACTCAGATATCAGAAATAACAAAACAATAACTACCTTCAACATTAACAGTCTCGCTTCCCGAGCGGATTCAATCAGACTACGACAATTACTTTACCTGAATTACCTCAGTTAAATTAATTCTCAAATACCTACCTAACAACCTACCTAACAAATAGATAGAATCCCCTCAATTGTAATAAAACACTTACCAGACACAATGATCAAAGATCTAACTATCATTATAAATAATGCACTAAACAACTTCTACTTCTCTGAAACATGACGAACCGGTGAGCTATCGCCCCATTAGTATGACTCCAACATTGAGCAAAGTATACGAAGCAATAATAAACAACTCAATCCTCCATCATGTTAATAAAAATAAGATCATGCCTGATAATCAATATGGATTCCGACATCAGCACTCAACAATTCATGCAGTTAACAAATTACTAACTGACGTAAATGAAAATCTTTTTAATAATAAAATGATAGGAGCAGTCCTATTAGACCTAGAAAAAGCATTCGACTCTGTATGGCTCAATGGACTCACTTTTATTCTCATAAAAAATAAATTTCCATCTTACTTAATTAAAACTATTTGGAACATGACTCATAATAAAAAATTTAAAGGCATAAACCATAACAACAACTTAAGCAACATCTTTCATATTAGAGAAGGATTACAACAGGGAACGATTAACTCACCGATATTATTCTCAATTTTCACAGCCCACATGATAAACGCATTTGAACTAAATAATAACAATAATACATTCTCGATTGCCTACGCCGACGATCGTATTATTTATATCGCGGGCGAAAATGGAGAAGAAATTAATAAAAAACTTAATCCGATCGTCGATAAGGTCAATGAAATGTATTCAGCCTGGAATCTGAGAGTTAATCCTGATAAGAGCGAGACCATTCTATTCAGAAATCCAAAAGAAAATATGTCTCGAAAAAACAGAGTATTAATAAATTTCAGATTAAAATCAAAGATAACATTACAAAAATTGAGTCAATTATTCCGCGAAAAAATTCGGTTAAATACTTGGGAATTCACATTGATGAACTCACCAGATGCTCTAACCATATAGATATTCAAATCGAAAAAGCTCGTAAGAGATATAAATCTCTAGGTCATCTCTTTCACAACAAATATATAAATACTAGAGCTAGGGTTATTTGCTATTTATTATTAATCAGACCTCTTCTGACATATGGGGCAGAAATATTATGGAATCTGGGAGCACATCAATGTGAAACCCTGAGAGTATTTGAAAGGAAATGTTTGAGAACTTCATTGTTCCTCTACCGTTCCGAATATTCCAATTACCAGCATCAAGTAAGAAACAAACATTTATATGATCGTGCCAAGATTCCCAAGATCGATAATTTCATCCTCAAATTAGCCCGTAACTATTATGGAAAATTAAAAACAATTAAAAATGAAACAATCAACAAGTTAACTAACATCGAAAACCATGAAGCCATAGAAAGAGCCAGATGTGGTAATATTAAACCCCAATACTTTATATCATATGATAAGATTGGTCTGTTCCAAGATGATAAAAACAGACCAATTCTCTACCACATCCCAAGACATAAAAAAAAACAATAAAATCCCAGTGGATGATTTTTTGAACAGAGAGCTCAAATACTCACGAGAAATTCCCAATATTGACTTTGAAGACTTCTATAGAATAACTAGAAAGTATTGGTGGCTGGATGAAAATGACAAATTCATTCCAGAACTGAAAGCCAGACATAAAATACACTTAGAGAGAAATAAAAATAGAACTCAGTTCCACAATAGATTTAGGAGGAATAACTTCAGGCCACCATAAAAAAACAATCAGATTACAACACCAAAATCAATACAAAAAGACTGACAACAAGTCAATTATCTCAGAGTAATATAGAACTCAGGGCAACTAGTACTTCAGTACAAATAATAAAATGACTGGCACTTCCTCTTCCCTTTACAAATAAGGTAAAAGGCACATAAATGCTAATCAAATCTTAAAATATTTTTCTACCAACGAATACCAAAAGCGCTTGTTTTTTTTTACATTAAGTTATAGCTTTCTTTTTTTTTATATTTTTCTTTACTTTCCTTTTTGGAGCGCAAAAACTCTTATAATAAAATTGCCAATCTGTTTGGGCATAGGCTTTAGTCAATCAAACCAAAATACGAAGTATTAATAATTAAATACCAGAAAATTTATTAAACTAGAAGTAATAGTCCAACCGTTTCGAATCATAATTAAATCTCCTACCACTCAGCCAATTACGGTCAATCAAGCAGCAATTATAATAATTTTACGAAGAAATCATAGAAAAACTAATTTCATTTGTCGCCAACGTTTCGAACACTCAAAGTGTCCTTCATCAGGGCATCATTTATTCTGTGTTATGAAAACAAAAAGATATATAAATACATATAAAAATCACAAAGAAACAAAACTATTGCACAATTTCAGTAATAACTATGTATAAAACCGTCTCAAAAGTTTACAAAATAATTATTAATGTTGTTACCTAATTAATCCATTTGGTCTTAAGGATTATCACAAAAATATCACCAATCTATATCCAAAAACTGACAAATACCGCTTATATCTGTCAGTGCTCTCCATAACCTAAAAATGACCCAATGTGAATCTTTCAAATTTTATAACTTAACTGCAACTATACACGAAATTTCAATGTTATGTTATTAGCATAATCAATTATTGTAAAAACTATGTTAACAAACACTGTCAAAACATCATGAAAATGCGAAAAACAAGAAAATTATTAATGAGATGAAATTATACATACTACTGCTGTTGTCATTTCATATGAAGAGAACAAAAGTTACCAAATATCACCAGACATTACGAAAAATTACTAGATTAAATGTCATCAATTCAAATCCATTATCACATTGTGTCATCAAGGTCATTATTACAAATTCATCAATAAAAATTATTTCATTATATTAAATTTACACTTTTAAAGACTAACCGACTAGTGTCAATTATTTTTAATTTTTAAAGAGCGCAATATGAGGAATTAGTGAAATTTGATTAAATGATCATAAGAATTGCCGAGTTTTTTACAATCATTCATGAAATTAACAGTGATGTTATTGTATTTTTTTATGTAGAACATTTCAAGAATGTTAAGATTATCATTCGGTTTTGCATTCCCTAAGATAACAGTATTATCAAAGTCAAAATGATGATGAAATTCTTTTGAATGACTTGACAAACCAGTTCTATATAAGTCAGGATTCCGTTCACTTCTTCTGTGCTCTTTTTCTCTTTTCTCAAAACATCTCGTTGTTTTGCCAATGTAAACTTTATTGCAATCGCCACATGGAATTTTGTAAATAACATTATATCTTGCATTTCTATGTATTTGGTCTTTCGTTGACTTATAATAATTACCAATCTTGTTTGTAATAGTTGATAATACTCTTACACCAAACTGAAGACAACATTCTTTCAAACTATTAGTCAACATATAAGAAAATGGAACAATCAAGGTTTTTTTGTACTCAATTGGATCTTTCTGTATGACCATCCCATCATTATTTTTGTTATCAACAATCATTTGTATTCTATTTTCCAAAATTTTACTGAAAAAACTAATTGGGTAATCATTAAAAATTAAAATCTTTTTAACCAACTTAATGTTATCATCAACAAACCTTGTATCACAAATTTTAAAAACCCTATCAGCCAAATTAAGAACTATAGCTCGTTTCTGTGAAATAGGATGCATAGAGTTGAAAGATTGCAATTTACATATGAAGTTGAAGAAAATGGATCTCTTCCTTTCCTTGATGTTCGTGTCATTAGGGATAGTAATAATGTTATTTTTGATTGGTTTAGAAAGAATACTTGGTCAGGGAGAATGTTAAATTTCACCCCTTTAATCATCCTCATTTGAAGCTCAAGTGAACGATGAAACGAAGCCTATCCCAGGCCTGAATAGCTGAGCCTCGCCAACCCTGGGCTCATACAGGCTTGTTCTCATCGTTAACCTATGTAATTCTTACCTGGGATACCGCGAATTGTAGGACCTCTCCTTGTCTCGCTTTCTTCCTTACCTATCTGAGTTGAGCATGGGGCTATAATATGATGCAGGTATACGAAAGTTTTCCTTGATGACGTAAAGAGCGATGGGTAATGGAAATCTACGTCATGAATACGTGAGGTGTTTGCGGTATTTTTGGGTTGACGTATGTACGCAGTTGCTGTAATTTTCACGATCCAAGGACGTGGAAGAACTGAAAATTCCGGAAATAATTTGTCATGGGATGAATTTTTCCAGAATTATAAACTGTATTGTGTACTATGCATTGAATACAAACGGAAACACCAATAATGAATCAATGAAATTTTATCTTCGTTTGAGAGTATTAGTTGCTGACTGTAAGCAAACTGATAAAATTCATTGAAGAAGAGAGATTTAGAAATTCATAACATTACGTCCTTCTCTGAAAGATTGTCGTCACGACAATCAGACAAACCTGTTATAGGCAACTAAAACATCAATGTTTTTTCAAGAAAGACTGATATTTTAGTAATCTGGGGTCCATAACCCATTTTCTCTTTGAAAACCCAGATGGAAAATCTAAAAGAGAAAAGGTATTGACTCGAACTAAACGGGGTTTGACTCGAAATAGGGGAAAGTCTTCATCCGAGGAGCGAAGTCGATCAGGTTTTCGAAGGTCAATCCGGGAATCCTGAAAAGGAGAGAACAAATTGGGCAGAATCATAATTGGAAAAGGGGAAAATCGTGTAAGTGAAAAGAGGATCAAGAAAAATAATCATTCTCCAAAAAAAATAATGGTAAGAAGGATAGAAAAAGTGGAGAAAAATAGTTATTCTCCAAAAAGAATAACGAAAAATAGAAAAGTAGAGAAGCTATGCGCAATCGCTTTCCTTAAACCCATTCCCGGGAAAATAAAATAAAATAAATAGATTGAAGAAGATAATTCGTTGATTATGGCCAGTAATCAACAAATTAAGTAAAAGAAATAATAATGCTAAAGAAAGAGAGGAGAATGAGAGTTTAATAACCTCATATGGTGCAATCCGGTTAATGTGGATAACTTTGGGTTTAGAATGAGGTGATCTCTGAATACGGTAAACCACGTCATTTAATTTGTTTTTTATTACATAAGGTCCCTTCCCATCACACTGGAGTTTAGGAGATTTTCCTTTGACTCTGCGTGGATTGAAGAACCAAACTTTTTGATTTGGTTGAAAATAAATCATGTGGGTTTTAATATCGCACTTCGATTTCATTCGATCGCTCTTGATCTGGAGTTTATCACGAACATCAGCATGAATTGAATCCAGATGGTTCTTGATATTCTCAACATATTCGGGAAGGGATTGAGAAGAATTATTCGGGAGAGAACCTCTAATCAAATCTAAAGGAAGTTTGAGTTCTCGACCCATTAGCAATGCTGCAAACTTCCTTTAGAACTCAAACTTCCTTTAGAACGGAAGGCTAAAAGGAAAAGGGGAATCCATTTATCTCAATCTTTCTGATTGAAATTCACGAATTTCGCTAAATAATTAGTGATGGTTCTGTTCAACCGTTCGATCATTCCGTTGGATTGAGGATGGAGTGGAGGTGTCCTAGTTTTCTGGATCCCTAGAAGATTTGAAACTTCTTTGAAGATTGAAGATTCGAAGCTTCGACCTTGATCAGAGTGGATTTCCTAGGGAATGCCAAATCGCGAAATTATATCCCTAACCAAAGCTTCAGCTACAGTTGTAGCTTGTTGATTTGGAAGAGGTATAGCTTCAGGCCATCTGGAAAAATAATCCGTGACAACGAGGATAAAATGATTACCGGACGAAGACCTTGGAAAAGGACCTAAGAAGTCGATGGCCAACCTTTCAAAAGGAAATCCAACGTTATAAATTTGGAATTCATCTTTAGTCTTCACATGTGGACCTTTTCCAGAAAAACAAACCTTACATTTTTTACACCAATTTTCTACGTCAAATTTACAAGTAGCCCAATAGAAATTCTGACGAACCCTAGCAAGAGTTTTGTGACGGTGAATTATGCGAAGAAGAAACAATCTCGGTGATGAGTTTCCTAGGAACAACAAACTGAAAAATGAATTTTGTACGATCGGAAGATTCCCAACGATGATAGAGGATGTTATCTCGCAGCTCCAAAGAATGCCAATGAAGAAGATAAATCTTAAAATCAGCACCTAGATGTGAAATGTCTTTCCAATCTGGACGATGATTCGACTTCTTGAATTGAATGATAGTTTTCAATGTGGGATCCTCATCCTGAAGCTGTATCCAATCACGATCATTCCTAGAACAACAAATAGTCCGAAAAACGATTTTATTTGATGAATCTTCAACGGCGTTAGCTTTGCCACAAACTTTACATGAACAAGGCCGACGTGATAGAGCGTCCGCGTTGCCATGAAGATGACCAGGGCGATGAGCGATCTCGAAATCATAAGAGAAGAGAAATTCAATCCAACGAGCAATCTGATTGACCGGCTTCTTGAAAGAAATGAGCCATTTCGAATAAGGAATTTCCGATCCAAAAGATCATGAGAGAACGATTCAATGGCCTTAACTACAGCCAGCAATTTTTTACGAGTGACGCAGTAGTTCTTTTGTGAGTTACTGAGACATTTGCTGTAATAAGCAATGACCTTTTCTGTGCCATCTTGTAATTGCGAAAGGGTAGCACCTACAGCGAATTGAGAAGCATCCGTATCAAGAAGAAATTTACCATCTGAAGAAAGAGTCGACAAAATGGGAGGAGAAGTGAGGATTGATTTTAATTTGAGAAAAAGCTAATTCACAATCAGATGACCAGATGAAAGGAGTTTTAAGGTCAGAGATCTTATGAAGAGGGTTAGCAATGGACGCGAAACCTCTGACGTATTGAGGATAATACGAGCAAAATCCAATAAAACTTCGAAGAGATGTTTTGTCGACGAGTTGGCCATTTAATGATCGCTGATATTTTCTCTGGGGAACAATGAATCCCGTTTTCAGAGACCATATGACCTAAGAGGAGAATTTCCTTCTGAAAGAAAACACACTTCTTGAAATTAACTTTCAAATTCGCAGAAGACAGTCTATCGAAGAAGATGTGAAGATTCTGCAGATGTTCTTTGAATGATCGACCAAGGACTAAAATGTCATCAAGATAAACTAAACAAATTTTTCAAATCAGGTCCTTGAGAATGGAATTCATCACTCGAACAAATGTAGCAGGAGCGTTACACAACCCAGAAGGAAGAACTTTGAATTGCCAAAGTTCATTTCCAATACAAAACGCAGTTTTCTCTTTATCCTCTGAAGCTATTTCTATCTGCCACTAATCACTCTTGAGATCGATCGAAGAAAACCAACAAAAATCCTTAGTTGCATCAAGAAGTTCACCAATAGAAGGAATTGGCATGCAATCTTTCTTGGTGACTTTGTTTAGAAGACGATAATCAATGCAAAAGCGGAGAGAACCATCTTTCTTCTTAACTAAAACAACTGGAGAAGACCAAGGGCTGGAATTCGCCTCGATGATCTCATCTTTCTTCATATCTTCTAATAAATCGAATGCGGTGTCTCGGTAGTGGAATGGAATCCTACGAGGAAGTTGTTTAATGGGATGAGAATTTTCGATTACAATGTGATGTTGGAAACCACTGTATTTTCCCAATTATTTGTTACTCCTCGCGAACCTGTCCTGGAATTGAATAAAAAATTGTTGGAATTGATTCTTTTGACTCACATCTAGTAATTTAGATGATGATTGAAAAAGTCCATGCAGAAATTCAGGAAAAGTAGTAGAA